TCCCATTGCACCCCCATTACCCCCTATTACCCCCATTACCCCATCCATTACCCATTCCCCCCCATTACTCCCTATTACCCCCCATTACACCCCCATTGCACCCCTATTAACCCCATTACCTCCCCCATTACCCCCCCATATTCCCCCATTGCACCCCCTTTACCCTCCCATTTCACTCCCCATTGCACCCCATTACCCGTTATTACACCCCCATTACACCCCCATTACACCCTATTAACCCCATTACACCCCCATTACCCTCCATTACCCTATCAACCCCATTACCCTCCCCTTACGCCCCCCATTTCAGCACCCATTGCACCCCATTACCCCTCTATTACCCCCATTACACCCCCATTGCGCCCCATTACTCCCCCATTACACCCCATGAACCCCATTACACCCCATTACCTCCCATTAACCCCCATTACCCCCCTACTCCATTTCAACTCCCATTGCACCCCATTACCCCCTATTACCCCTATTACCCCCCATTACCCATTCCCCCCCATTACCCCCTATTATACCCCATACCCCCCTTACACCCCATTACACCCTGTTAACCCCATTACACCCCCATTATCCCCCCATTACATCCCATTACCCCCAATTACACCCCCCCATTGCACCCCCTTATTCCCCCATTTCACCCCCCATTGCACCCTATTGCCCCCCATTACTCCCATTGCACCCCCTTACTCCCCCTTACTCCCCCATTTTACCCCCAATTGCACCCCAATTACCCCCATTACATCCCCACTGCACCCTATATTAAAGCCCCATTACACCCCATTACCCCATTGCACCCCCTTATTCCCCCATTTCACCCCCCATTGCACCATATTGCCCCCTATTACACCCCCATTACCCCCCCCATTACACCCTATGAACCCCATTACACCCCCATTACCCCCCCATTAACCCCATTACCCCCCCTTACTCCCCCATTTCAGCCCCCATTGCACCCCATTACCCCCTATTACCCCCATTTCACCCCCCCATTGCACCCTATTAACCCCATTACCCCCATTAACCCCATTACCCCCCCATTACCCCATTACCCCCCAGCAGTGGGCGTGTCCCCTCTAAGCCCCCCCTCCCTCCCCGCGCCTGCGCAGTGTGCATCGGGGGGGGCAGCGCAGTGCCCCTCCCTCCCCGTGGGGCCCCGCCCCCCCCCGGCTTCCTGCCCCCCCCCTCCCCGCCGGGCCGCGGGCACCATGGCAACGGGGCGGGGGGGGGGAGGGGACAGCGGGGGGACACCCCCATTGCCCCCCGTTACAGCCCAGTACCCCCATTGCACCCATTGCAACCCCTTACTCCCCCATTGCACCCCCCCATTGCACCCCATTGCCCCCCCACTGCACCCTATTAAACCCCATTACCCCCCCAATACCCCCCCATTATCCCCCCATTATCCCCACTGCGGGGGGACAACATGGGGACAGGGAGGGGACAGGGGATAGCGAGGGGACGGGACGGGGAGGGGACAGGGCACAGTGGGGAGACAGGGGACAGTGAGGGGACAATGAGGGGACAGCAAGGGGACAGGGACAGCATGGGGACAGCAAGGGGATGGGACAGAAAAGGGACAGTGAGGGGATGGGACAGCAAGGGGACAGTGAGGGGACAGCAGGGGGACAGGGGACAGTGAGGGGACTGGGGAAAGAGGGAGGGACAGGGAGAGGGTAGGGGACAGTGAGGGGACAGAGATGGGGGGACAAGGGACAGCATGGGGATAGTGAGGGGACAGGAGAGGGGACAATAAAGGGTCAGCATGGGGACAGGGAACAGTATGGGGACGGGATAGTGAGGGGACAGGACATAGTGAATGGGGACAGCACGGGGACAATGAGGGGACAGCAAGGGGACAGGGACAGCATGGGGACAACACGGGGACAGTGCGGGGACAACATGGGGACAGCAAGGGTGACAGGAAACAGGACAGGGGACAGCATGGGGACAGGGGAGGGGACAATGAAGGGTCAGCATGGGGACAGGGGACAGGATGGGGACAGGATAGTGAGGGGACGGGATGGTGGGAGGGGAATGGGGGCAGCATGGGGACAATGAGGGGACAGTGGGGGGACAGCACGGGGACCCCCCCCCCAGCAGCACCCATGGGTGCTGACCCTACCTGAGGGCTCCGCCGGGGCTCCTGCAGGGGCTGGCGGAGCCGTGTGCGGGGCCCCGCGGGGGCAGCACGGCCCCGGCCGACGGCTTCGGGATGCCGCTGGGTGGGGGGCAGCCCCCGGGAACGGGGAGACGCCGGTCCCGGTCCCGGTCCCTGTCCCTGTCCCCAGGGCAGGGGGGCTCGGCACGGCGTGGGGTGCTGGGGCTGGCGGCTGCTTCTGTGGGGAGAAGGCCTGAGGGCGGGCGGGGGGCAGGCGGTGGGCTGCAAGGGACAAGGGGACACGGGGGGGGGGTCAGGGGGTGACCAAATTCACCCCGGGACCTTCACTGGGGTGAATTTGGCCCAAAGTGGGAACAAATTTTTCTCGGTTTTGCCCCGTTCCAGCCGGATCAGTGCCCGGCGCAGCCCGCCCCAAGGGAAAACGCCCCGGCAGGGAGAAAGGAAAGGGGGGAAAAACCCCAAATAGGGGTGAGTGGGGGGTGGTTTGGGGTGCGGGGGGCACTCACAGAGGGAGGCGCAGCGGCACGGGTCGTGCTTGTCCAGGTAATGCCAGCGTGTGTCCCAGCCGCCACCGACGCGCACCATCACGTGGCTCCTCAGCACCTGGGCAGGGGAAGGGGGGTGCCGTCAGCCCCAAAACCCCCAAAACCCCCCAAACCCCAAAAAAAGGCAGCATGGACACCAGGGTGTGGGGGGAGCCCCGCCAGACCCCAAAAGGAGGTGGAGAAGTGGGGGTGAGGGGAAGGATAAATCCCGTCCCCCATGCGGGCTGGGGGCACGAGTGGGTGCCAAACCCCGACCCTTTTGGGGTTCCCCCATGGAAGGCCCCCCCAGAATGGGTTCCCAGCCCCCCCCCCCGCCCCAAAAAGGAGGTGGGGGTGCTGTTCTTACTCGCACGAAGATGAGCGCGTTGGAGTCTCCCACTTTGTATTTACCCTCGGAGACTTTGACCATGGGGAACTGGGACGGGCACGTGCAGCAGCCCAGGATCTCCCGCACCTGAGGGGAAAAAGATGAGACCCCCCCCAGTCAGTGCCCCCACCCCAAAACCTGGCTGCACAACCAGGGGGGAGCCGAGCAGCTCCCATCCCGTGCGCCCCCACAAATTGGGGGGCACCCACAAAGGGCCGCAGCCCCCACGGAGCCTCCCCGAGAGAGGGGCCCCGGGGACTTCCCACAGCCGGGCACCGAAAGCAGCGTTTTTTTTTTTTTGTTGTTGTTTTGTTTTTTTTTAGAAAAAAGGAGAATTAAAAAAAAGCCCCAGAATCCTCCCTGCCGCTCCCAGGCGTGTCCCCGGGGTGGGTTTTTCCACTCGGGAAAGCGTCAATTCTTGGCACGACTCAAAAAAAGCAAGTTTTTTGGGGAGGGTGGCGAGGCTGCGCCCCGTAGCTGGGGGGTCCCCAAAGGGGGTTTGTGGACCCCCCACTGCCCCCCGGCCCCATCCGCCTGTGTCTGTGGGGCCGGGAAGCCGTGGGGCTGACGTCAGGGATTAGGCACGGGTCCACGCCGGGGGGGGACGCGGGGACACGGTCGCATCCTGCCCCGGCTGGAGGAGCGGCGTGGCACAGGGACACAGCCTGGGGGGGCAGAGGGGGCTCAGGGGGGGGATTTGGGGACAGGGACCCCCGGGGACATCCCCTCTGTGCCCAGGGTTTGGCATCAGCACGGACCCGGCCCGAGGGGTGGGTGCCCCCAGCACCTGCACCCCTCTGGCTTCACCAACCCCGTTTCCTTGCTTTTTAGCAATTCCCCCTTTTTTTAAAAAAAAATAAAAATTTTTTTTTTTTTAGCAATTCCCCCTTTTTTTTTTTTTAAAATTCTTATTTTTATGCAATTCCTCCTCCCTGCCCACCACTCTCCTCCAGCCAGCCCCCCCCCCCCCCGAGCCTCTCCTCTATGGGGAAACTGAGGCACGGGAGGGGGGGGGAGGAGCTGCAGGGAGCCCCGGGGCCTTGACCCCGAGCCCTGGGGACGTGGGGACGAGCGGGGGACCCCCTTGGGGACCCGTCCCCGGTGTGGTGGCTGGGCCAGGCCGGATGCAGGCTCCTCCCCGGCTCCATCGCTGCCCATAAAAGCCCATGGCGAGGCATTACGCAGCCCGGAAAAATTCCCTCGGGGCTGGCAGCGCCCCACAGGGGGGCCGGGGCAGGTTGGGGGTACCTTGGGGAGGAGGGGGGGGGGCGGTCAGCAGCACCCCAATGTCCCCCCCCCAATCCCCCAATCCCTCAAGAAGCTGCGTCAGGCTGCGGGATTTAGGGCGGAATCGGGGTTTCGATTAAAAACCGGCTTTGGGATTAGGGGATGGGGGGGTCAGGGGAGGGCAGGGCTGTGGTAATCCACCCTGTGCCCTGCTAATCCCGGCTGTGTCCCCCCCCATGGCACCCCTCCCCATGTCCCCAGGGATGTCACGCTGTATGGGGGTCACACAGGAGCCCGGGTGGGAGGGTGGCGAGGACACCCCATGGGCTGGATGGAGGTGGGTGGGTGCGTGGGGGCCTCCCCCAGCACTGACAGCCCCCTGGGTGCGGGGGGGGGGACCTCCCACGGCCCACGGAGGTCCTGGGGGGGCACCGAGGGCTGTGGGGGCTGCGGGGAGCCGGGGGTGCACGGGGAGAGCACTGGGGGGGCCATGGAGGTCCTGTTGGGGGCATGGAGGGGACCTCCCAGGGTCATAGAGATCTTGCGGTGGGTAGAGGGGACTCCAATGGGTCATAGAGTTTGTGGTTGGGTAGATAGAGAAGACCTCCAATGGGTCATAGAGATCCCATTGGGTGGATAGAGAGGTCCTCCTATGGGTCATAGAGTGCCTTCCTTGGGTGGCTAGACAAGACCTCCCATGGACCATAGAGTTCCTCCTTGGGTAGATAGAGAGGAACCCCTACAGGTCATAGAGATCCCAGTTGGGTGGCTAGAGAGGACCTCCAATGGGTCATAGAGATCCTCCTGGGTGGATAGAGAAGACCTCCTAAGGACCATAGAGCTCCCAATTGGGTGGTTAGAGAGACCTCCCATGGGCATAGAGATACAATGGACCATAGAGAGGGCCTCCCATGGACCATAGAGATCACAATGGACCATAGAGAGGGCCTCCCATGGACCATAGAGATCATTTTGGGTACCTAGAGAGGCCATAGAGCCCCCGCTGGGTGCCTAGAGACCCCCCCCAGGCCAGACCTCCCCGCTGGGGGCTGGAGGCCCCCCCACGCTCACCAGCTCGTCCAGGTTCCTGAGGTCGCACAGGGCCAGGCGCTGCCCCCCGCCGCCGGCCGAGCCCAGGGCCCTGTTCCTGGGGGCCCGGCCCTCGCGGTGCGCGCCCGGCGCCGTGGGGTCCCGCATCTCCTCCTCGATCTCCTCCTCCATCTGGATCAGCATGGGGGCCAGCATGCCGAACTTGGCGCCCCGCCTGGCCACCTCCAGCAGGCAGAGGACAAAGTTCTTCTCGTTCTTCTTCAGCACCAGGTCGTTGGTCTCGAACATCAGCACGTCCTGGATGCCCAGGTCCTGGCGGCACCACTGGATGAAGTTGGAGACGTTGTCGCGGGCCACGAAGGAGCCGGGGGCCACGTTGCGGGCCTGGAAGACCACCTCGCGCCGGGGGACCCGCATGCGGGCGGCGGCGGCCGGGTGCCGGCGCTGGAAGTCGCCGGCGCTGCGGGGTGACGTTGTTGGCGTGCTGGCACAGGGCGCAGCCCGTCTCCAGGCTCTCCAGGAAGGTGTCGGGCTGCACGTCCAGCTCGTACAGGGTGTTGAACCACTCGGCCAGGTCCTCCTTCATGGCCTCCAGGTACTCCTCGCTGGAGCGGAACGGCCGGATGCTCTTGGAGGCGGCCGACTGGATGTTGCTCTGGTCGGCCATGGCGAGCTGGGGGGGGGGCAGCGGGTGTTATATGGGACTGGGTGTTATATGGGACCGGGATGGGGCTCAGACCCTGCAACACCCCCTCCAGAAGCCCCCACTCACCTGGTGCCCACCCCACCTGGTGCCCACCCCACCCAGTATCCCCCTACCCAGTGTCCCCCCCCACCCGGTGTCCCCCCATGGGCACAGGGATGTCACCACTACCCGCAAGACCCCCACCCCCCCGCCCCGTGTCACCCCGCTGTGCTGTGTGCCCCCCCCCCCTCCAAGATGGGGTTGATGTCCCCAGTGCCCCCCCCCCCCCCCCCCCTCCCAAAGCTGCCCAGTCATCGTGGGTGGCACCCACCCGGCTGCCAGCACCCTGGGTGCCACCCTAGGGGGGGGGGGAGGGAGGTTCAGGGAGACCCCCTCCCCCCCCCCAGGAAACCCCATGGGGGTGTAATGTGGGGCTGGGGGGGCTGCACTGGGGGGGGATATTTGGGGAGGGGGGCACAAGAGCCAGTGAGCCCCCATGCCTGGGGGAAGCCCCCCCACCCCAACCCCTCACCCTGGGGGTCTCTGCTGGGGGGGGCACTGATAAGGGGGTGTCCTGATAAGGTGACCTGATAAGGGGGTGTCCGGGGGGGGGCAGTGCCCGGGGGGAATGAGGGGGGGGTTGGGGTGGTGTCTGCCGCGGGGGGGGGTGGCTTGTGACAGGGGGGGCCCTGCAGGGGTACGGGGGGGGGGTCTGGGGATGGTGTCTGCTGGGGGGGGGGGGCACCGTGCTGGGAGGAGGGGGGGGAGGTTAAGAGGGGGAGGGGCGAGCTCTCACATGGGGGGGGTCCATTTTTGGGGGGGGGGTCTCTTTGCCAAGGGGGGGGGTCGGGGGGGAGGGGCAGCACCTGCGCGGCAGATGCCGACTGGGGGTGGGTGGTGGGGTGGGGGGGGGCTCCCAGGGACCCACGGACGCAGCCCCAACTCGGTGCCCCCCCCCCCCCAAAACCCCGTACCCCCCCCCCCCATCCCCACGGCCCCGCACTCACCGTCCCCGAGCCGCTGCCTCCGGGCCGGGCCGGGCCGGGCTGTGAGCAGCGGGGGGGGGCCCCGCCGCCTCCCCCGCCCCCGCCGCCATCCGCCGGTGGCCCCCGGGGCCGAACCGGGGCTGAAACGGGAGCGAAGCGGGGCCGAGAGCCCACCCCAGCCGCCCCCCCCCCCCCCGTGGCAGCCCCGCAGCCGCCGCCGCCGCCGCCTCGCCCGGCCGGGAAGTTGGAAACGGCCCAGAAAGGGCAGGGATGGGAGCGGCGGGGGCGGGGGCACCGCACTGGGGGGGGGGGAACCGGGGGGGGGATGTGGGGATATGGGGGGGAATGGGGGGGGAATGGGGGGAGCATGGGGGATGGGGATATGGGGGGGGATAGGGGGGGATACGGGGTATAGGGGGGTATTGGGGGATATGGGGGGGTTTGGGGGGGGCATGGGGACGTGGGGGGGTATCTATGGGGCATGGGGGGGTGGATTTGGGGGGGGGAGATGGGGTGGGGGGGTGACATGAGGATGGGGACACGGAGATGGGGGGGTATGGCTGCAGGGACACATGGGGGGATCTTTGGGGACTTGGGGGGGTGGGGGGGGAAGGGATATGGGGGGACAGGGAAATGGGGACGTGGGGGGGTGGGATGATGGGGATATGACCACGGGGGGGACAGGGACATGGGGATGTGGGGGGGGTGGGATGGCAGGGATGTGGCCACAGGGGGACAGGGACACGGGGGGGGTTGGCTACAGGGACATGCCAACCCCGGGGGACATCTCCAGGGATATGGGGGGGGACGCAGGGGTACGGCCAGGGGGGATATGGATATGGGGACAGGAAGGGAACAGCCAACATCCAGCCCCTGCACCCCAGGGTGGCCCTGGGGGAGACACACCGGGGGGGGCTCACTGCGGGAACAGGATTTGGCCCCAACCCCACCAAGAGGGGGAAACTGAGGCAGGAGCGGGGCTCCGGGACCCCCAGGGCAGTGGTTCCTGGTGTCACCCCAACCAACGGGGTCCAAAAGAGGTCCCTGGGGTGCCAGGGTCAGGCCCACAGCTCGCCCCCCACCCCAAGGAGGGCAGAGCAGGGGAAATCCCAAATCCCCTTCCCGAGGGGTCAGCACAAGCTGGACCCCAGAGGGGCTCCGCAGCCCCAGGGGAAAGCTCTGCTGGCTTTTGGGGTCCTGGATCAAGGGGGACACGAGCCCACCGCCCCCCAAAGGGACTAAAGGGGCTCCTCCAGGCTGCTGCACCCACCAGGGTGAGGTTCCGAAGAGAGGCCAGAAGTGGTACGTTTATAAACATCGGGAATTTTATTATTATTTTTTTTTAATAAAAAAAAAATACCATCACAACCATTAACATCATTACAGTTAGTCGCCACCTCCGGGGGTGGCACACGGTGATACGAGCATGCTCACAACAGGGGGGGCGCAGCGGTTTAGTCGGAGTTAAACAACCATTTTTTAAAAGGGGTGGGGGGGAAGGGGGGGGGGAAAAATAACTCGGCACGCTACCGTTGAACTTGGTTTTAATGTTTCTCCACAAACGGTGAAAAATACTAAAGTACAGACGAGGAATAGTCATAATGTTGCGGCCAACATTATAAATATGGAATTATAAATTTAAAACATTTTTTTTTTCTGGTTTAAAAAATAAATCTGGTAGTAAATGCAGCTCTGCGGGGTCTGCCTCTAGTAGGGCCGGTCTCGGCGCTCCTGGCGGTGCTCACCCCTGCAAGGAAAGAGGCTGGGTCAGTTGTGATAACGGGGTGTCCCTCCCAGCTGGGCCCCCCCCCCCGTGTTGATTTCCATCATTTGGGGTCTCCCCGTGCCCTAACACCTCCCTCCCTCCCTGCTCTTCTCAGAGCACAGCCCCCCCAGCCCCCAGCCCACTGCCCCACGCACTTGTCCATCTTTCCTGGTCCTCCACGCCTGCCGCCTCTGCCTCCGCCTCCCATCTGGTCCATCAGGGGGCCAGGGGGGCCTCCGGGTCCTCCTCCTCGCCGTCCTCCTCCTCCGTAGCCACCTCGATCCATGCCCCGGCCGCCTCTGAAGCCACCTCTGTCTCCGCCGCGGCCGCCTCTGAACATGCCACCGGGTCCCCCGCGGTCCATGAGGCCCCCTCCTCCTCTTCCTCCTCGCATCCCCCCGGGGCCGCCTCTGCCGCGGTCTCCTCCTGGAGGGAAGGAAAAAAAAGCTCGGAACAACCAGAGCCAGAGCCTGCCGGGGCCAGACACCGCTCCAGCCCTTCCAACCCATCCCCTCCTCAACCAGGGATGTCCCAGGGCACTGAAACGGGGCGAGGAGCAGCAGCTGGGGGGGGCTGAGGGGAAACGAGGCTGGGGACAGGAGGTGCTGCCTGCACACAGCCGTTGTTACACCCAGGGGCTGATGGATTGTGGCAAGGAAGTCTCCTCGAGAGCCAGGAGGGATGGGGGGCTCGTTAAGAGGGCACTGCCTGGGAGGAACGAGGTCAAAGCGGCGCTGCGGGGAACTGGACCGCCGTGGCAGCCGACAGAGCCCCTCTCGCCCTCTTTCCCCCGCAGTTCACAACGTGAAGCCAGAATGCCTGGATGCCTACAACAGCCTGACGTGAGCCCCCGCTGCCGCCCCCGTGTCCCACTCGGGTCTGGGGGGGGGCTGAGATGGAGGGAGACCCCTCAATTTGGCTGGGAGGGCAAATGGGGGGGTCAAGAGCATTGCGGGGTAAAAAAATTCAAAAATTCAGCTCTCCTCTCGCTGGGAGAGACCCAAGCGCTGCCCGCCATGCCCCAGCCTCCCCCTTTCTCATATCTGGGGGGGTCCCAGGAACACGGGGCCGCCCCCCCACCGCCCCCCCACCGCCCCCTGTGCCCCCGAGCAGGGAGGAGGTGCTGCCCAAACTGCACTTGGACGCTGATTACCCCTGCGACCTGGTGGGGAACTGGAACACGTGGTACGGCGAGCAGGACCAGGCAGGTGAGCGCATCCTGCACGAGGACAGAGACCCGCGAGGGGGGCACCCAGAGCCTCCCCCGTCACCCCCCTCCTCGCCCAGACCCCGACACTGGGCAGGGAGAGGACGCGGGGCGAGCCCTGGTGTCCCGGGGAGGGCTCTGTGGGTTCCTGCTGCCTTTCCCCCCACCCCACACCTCGCCGCTCCCCTCCCAGTGCACCTCTGGCGCTTTTCGGGGGGGTACCCGGCCCTGATGGACTGCATGAACAAGCTGAAGCAGAACAAGGTAGCGCCCGAACCGCAGCGCGCCGCCCTCCCGCGGCCCCCCCGGGCTGCCCCCGCTGGCGGCAGCAGCTGCCCCGGCTCTGGCTGTCCCCAGGAGTACCTGGACTTCCGCAAGGAGCGCAGCCGCATGCTGCTGTCCCGCAGGAACCAGCTGCTGCTGGAGTTCAGCTTCTGGAACGAGCCCCTGCCCCGCCAGGGGCCCAACATCTACGAGCTCAGGACCTACAAGCTCAAGGTGAGCCCCCCTCTGTAGGGTTTGGGTGCCTGGTGCTGGTTCTGCGGGGCCAGAGGGGGGTTTAGGGGCTGTTTGGGGTCTGGCCGCTCACCCTGTGGGTTTTTCCTCCCTTTCCAGCCAGGGACCATGATCGAGTGGGGCAACAACTGGTGAGTCGGCCCCCCTAGGAGCGCGGCGGCCGCCCTCAGCGCAGGGACACGGTGTGGGGGTCACCTCGTGCGACCCCTCCCCGCGTTCCTGCCCCCGTTGCCAGGGCTCGGGCCATTAAGTACCGGCAGGAGAACCAGGAGGCCGTGGGCGGCTTCTTCTCGCAGATCGGGGAGCTGTACGTCGTGCACCACCTCTGGGGTAAGCGGGCTGCCTCGCGCCCCCCCTGCCACCACCGTAGTGACCCCGGCTGTGCCCTGCACGCACCCAAAGCCCCAAAGTGTGTGGGGTTACGGTGGATTTGGGGTACGAGCCTTCTCCTCCCGGCAGCCTACAAGGACCTGCAGTCCCGCGAGGAGACGAGGAACGCGGCGTGGCGGAAACGGGGCTGGGACGAGAACGTCTACTACACGGGTGAGCGTGTGGGGCGAGGGGGGGGCCACACTGTGACCCCACAGCCCCAAGCACACCGTGACCCCATTCCTCTCTTCTACAGTCCCGCTGATCCGCACGATGGAGTCACGGATCATGATCCCGCTGAAGATCTCCCCGCTGCAGTGACCGGACCCATTCCGGGGGGGGCCATATGGGGCCGAGTCCCCGCGCCCCCATCCCCGGCCCTATAAGGGTGCTGCAGGGACCCAGCCCGGCGCTGGGGCAGCCCCGGAGTGCGCTGGGGTGCTGGGGAGGGGCTGCGGAGGCGGGGCAGCTGCTGTTAATTACCGCTAATGACGTGCTAATGAGGGGCGGGACCAATTAAATATTTAATTGCGCTCTCTGTGTCTGGGCGCCCCCCCCCCCCCCTTCCCCGCGTTCCTTGCGGCGCGCCGGCGGGACCGAGGCCACGCCCACTCCGCTTAGGCTACGCCCACCAAGTCCACAAACCACGCCCACTACGCTTAGACCACGCCCACCTGGCTGTTTAAGGCCAGCCCCCTTTGGAGGACTGCCCGCTAGGGGGCGCTCTATCCTCTCCGGGCTACTCTCGTCTGCTCCGCGCGTCACTTCCGGCCGGCGGCGTGAGGCGGCTCAGGGGGGCACCGGGAGGGACCGGAGGGGACCGGGGGGAGGGGAGGAGGAGCGGGGCCGGGCCCCTCGCAGCGCCCCCAGCCATGGCCTCGGACGCCGGCAAGAAGCGGAAACCCAAAGTGATCCGCACCGACGGGGCCACGCCCGAGGGCAAGCGCGGCAAGGCGGAGGGCGAGCAGGTAACGGCGGGGCCTTCACCGGGCCCTCACCGGGCTGGGCCCTGCTGGAGGCCTCAGGCGAGGCCCGGGCCCTTCACAAAGCCCCGGGGGGACGGGGACTCGCGGCTCTCCCCCCCCCCGCAGGATGCCCGGTACTACAGCGAGGAGTGCGAGGTGGACCTGCGGGACCCCATCAAGGACTACGAGCTGTACAAGGAGACCTGCCAGGAGCTGCAGCGCCTCATGGCCGAGATCCAGGAGCTGAAGAGCCGCGGCATCAAGGACAACGTACGGGAAGCCTCGGGGGGTGGTTGGATGCGCTCTGCTCCTTGATGTTTTCCTTTAATTTGGGAGGGTCAGGAGCTGGGCTGCGTTCTGGGGAGAAATAGGGAAACAAAACAGCCTGTGTCAATAAAAAAGACCTATTTAGTTACAGGCATGTGGCCTCTGGCCGTGCACTCATTGCACAGATTGGATCACTGATCAGGGCTCCTGGGGAAGGAGCTGAGCCCGCTGTGATCTGAAAACCCCTCTGGTTATGCCCAGTGGTGACCTGGGGCGCTGGCAGCGGGAGGCCCGGCTGGGTGCAGAGCTCAGGGGCGGTGCGGCTGGGGTCACCGGCTGCCCCCCACAGCTCCCTGCTGCCCCCAGGCCTCCGAGATCGACGAGCGGCGCGTGCAGAGCTGCGTGCACTTCATGACCCTGAAGAAGCTGAACCGCCTGGCGCACATCCGCCTGAAGAAGGGGCGAGACCAGACCCACGAGGTACGGGGTGGGGGGCGGCCAGCCCGGGAGGGGGCTGCAGGGAGGGCTGAGCTGTGTGCTGGGTGCATGTGGGCAGCAAAGCCCCAGCAGGTGGTGCTCTCTGTGCTAGAAATCTGCCAGGAGGCTCTGCAGCACGGCAGAGGCTGTAATTGTGATGGATTGTACAGGAGGAACGGCTCCTGTCTGGTGTAGCAGTGAGGCAGGAAGCTCTGTCTCGGCAGCCCGCTGTGCTGCGGGCCTGAGAAGTGAATCATGGGCTCCAGAGCTTGCACCCGGACATCTCAAAGAGGTTTTCATGCTGCAGGAGCATTTATTTTCATTGTGTTGCTGGGAACCAGGCACAGGGACAGACTGAGCCCACGTGTGTGGCCAGGACTGCCTTGTTCCTGTCCCCAGAACACACCCTGTCCTTGAAAGGGAACGGGATCAGTTTGCAGTGATGAGTATTTGCATTCCCAGCCCTGAAAATGACTTTTTTTATCCCCCTAAATGGCTGCATACCCCAAAACCTATCATCCCTGGATGGTGCAGGGGGTGCGGGGTTCAGTGAGTTTTGTAGAGTAAAAGTTCATCCCTGCACACCCCTGAGCGCTTCCATGTGCTTGGGGTCTGTGGGAAGGGCGTCCTCACAGCTCTGGGGTCACTGCTTGTGCCTCCTGCTCTGTGTTTCTGGGTGTCACTGGCTGTGTCTGTGTCCCAGGCGAAGCAGAAGGTGGACGCCTACCACCTGCAGCTCCAGAACCTGCTGTACGAGGTGATGCACCTGCAGAAAGAGATCACCAAGTGCCTGGAGTTCAAGTGAGCTTGGCCGGGGAGGGCGAGGAAAGGAGGGGCTGCGCGTTTGGCACCCCCTCTTCCCTCACCCTGGGTTGCAGGTCGAAGCACGAGGAGATCGAGCTGGTCAGCCTGGAGGAGTTCTACAGCGAGGCCCCCACCGAAATCAGCCGGCCGGACATCACCCTGACCGAGCCCCACCAGCAGACCCTCGCCCGCCTCGACTGGGAGCTGGAGCAGCGCAAGAGGTGGGTGGGGGCGGCCTGCAAGGAGCCGTGGGCTGGGCTCTGCGGGCTGCCGGGTGGGGTGGGCACGCAGGAGGGGTTTTTATCAGCCTTTAGGATTGATAAAGGAAGCAGCAGGTAACTGTGACGAGTCCTCGCTGCAGGGAGGGGCTCTCTGGACCCGCTCTCTCCTTGGGGCTGTGCTGACTCTGGGGCATGGAAAGGAGAGAATTAATTTTAGAGCCACTGCTGCTGTGCTGCGGGGGCAAGGAGCGGGTTTAAGCAGCTTGCTCCTTGGATCTAGCTGCCTTAAGGCAGGATCCGGCCCCCTGGGTTCCTCAGTTGATATAGGGCCGCTCGAGGAGCCTCGCTCTGGCAGCTCCTGCCCTGCTGCAAAGCAAACACGCTGTAACTACACCCCCTCTGCACCAAGCAGCAGGTTTTTCAGGCAGCTGGGAGCAGCTTTCCCCCAAAATCAGCCTAACCCTGCCCAGCACTGCTCGCTGTGGCAGGCTTTGGGCTCTTTTCCCTCAGCACCAGCACACCCAGGGCTCTGAGTCGTGGCCAGCTTCCCTTTTCCTCGGGTTTCCAGCTTGGTAACGAGCGCTGCGTGCTGTGCTGCTGAGCTGGCTCCAGCAGTCGACCCTGGGAGCTGCTGACACAGCACCACGTGGAGAAGCCTCCTCGGGGGCTTAGCGGGGTCAGGAGGAACCCGTTTGGGTGCTGGCAGCCGAGCTGGTGCGGGAGCAGCGCTGCTGGGGGAAGTCATGGTCGCTGCCCTGCCTCGGGACAACGCCGGGCTCAGCTTCCCCTTCCTCCCCTGCTGCTTCTGAGCTCCTGCCTGCCTCCGCCCGCCCTTGGCCTTGAGAGCTCCCTGCGTGTCCCTGCGTCAGCTCTCCTGGTTCCTGCAGGGATTTGGGGCACCTGGGGCTGCTGAGGGGGCCGGCCCCAGTGGTGCTAACTGAATTCCCACCCCCTGTAGGCTGGCAGAGAGGTACAAGGAATGCCTGACCATCAAGGAAAAGATCCTGAAGGAGATCGAGGTGAAGAAGGAGTACCTGAGCAGCCTGCAGCCTCGCCTCAACAGCATCATGCAGGTACTGCCTGAGCCCTGCAGGGAAGGGAGGAGCCTCCAGGAGCAGCGTTAGGGTTGCACAACACCCACAGCCCCCACAGCCCTTCCCCTCCTGCTCAGGGGGTGTCGGGTCCCATTGGAGTGACCCCACAGGGCTGCTCCCTGCCCTGTCACCTTCTCCGGATCCCCCTTGTTCCTTTCTGCTCTCCCACGTGCCGGGGGGCGAGGGAGGTGCTGAGAAGGGCGTTCACTCTGTCCCATCCCCGCTCCTGAAGCCCTCCCTGTGTCCCCCAGGCCTCCCTGCCCGTGCAGGAGTACCTCTTCATGCCCTTCGACCAGGCGCACAAGCAGTACGAGACAGCCCGCCACCTGCCACCGCCCCTCTACGTCCTCTTCGTCCAAGCCAGCGCCTACGGGCAGGCCTGCGGTGAGCACCGGGGGCATTGGGGCTGGATTTCCGTGGAAACTCTGCCCTGGGGAGCTTTGGGGTGCTGCGGGACGTTCCGCTGTGTTCTGCTGAGCCCGGAGGCAGCGCCCTGAGGCAGCAGCATTTGAAACTTTGTTGGCTCAGCTCTGTTGGCCAGAACTGCTGGCGGAGCTGCCTGCCCGCCTCTGCCCCCGTCCTCAGCACCACACCAAGGTCGGCGGGGATAAAGGCGGCCCGGTGGTGGTGCACATCCCCCCCCCTCGTGTGGAGGCTGTGTGTGGTGCTGCCTGGCAGCTCCTTGCTCCCTCTTTGGCATGCTAGTCTCAGCCCCCGCAGCGCCCTTCTGGTTCTATAGAGTGGTCTTTATGGCTTCTGGTACACTCCCTCCAACCCCAGTGCTCTGCTTCCTCTGACCCCATCCCACCAGAAGATCTGGCCCCACAGAACCTCTGGGCACTCCTCTTCCTGCTGACCCCTTGTTTGAGCTTGTGGGGCAGCCATCGGGGCTGGAGCTTTTTGGGGCAGT